TAATTAATCAATTAATTAAATTCAAATTAATTTTTATCATTTTTTATATATATTAATTATAAAATAATATATTTATTGCTTTTATTACGTCCCCTAAAGACACAAAATAAAAAAAGTCCCTTTTAAAATTTCTACATTGACTTTACACAACCAATCCACCCACTGTACTGAATTTTTGAAAAAACTGTGGAAAAAGAGGGAGAGGAAGATGAGAGGTGAGATTCAAATGAAATAAAAGTGCATCGAATGCTTGGGAAATTAATATGGTTGTGGTCAGCGATTTCTGAAGATCAATGCATGTACTCCGGCAAGGAAAAGCAATTGTGGGGGAGCGAAAAAAGAGGATTGGGGGTGGAAGATGAAGGAAGAGGAACAAATCTGTTGAGGTAGAAAATTAAATGTAATTCTACCTAATCTCATGGGGAGGTGAGATACAATTGACATAATTCATTTAGGATAGGATACAAGATGACATAAATGTCATCTTATCCTTGACCCTCTCAAACATTTATTACTTGAAAATTGTACAAAAAGTTTATCTCTTGACACTTTAAACACGCTAATAGGGTACAAGATAGAAAAGTTAATTGTTAATTAATTATTATAAAAACAAATTAATTTAACTAACATAAAATATGTTCTTAATGGTAATTTAAGTCTTTAATAAAAAGAACTATTAGTTTTATTACCAAACACTAATTACAAATACTAACATACATTATTAACTATTATTAATTATTAACTATCAATTATAAATTATTAACTATCAACTATTAATGAAATTTAAATGGCTAATTCAAATGACTTCTAAATTAATATAATCTAATACAATTCAAACTGTACTAAGTATATATTTTTAATTAATAAAAATAAAAAAAATCAATGACTATTGTAGTAATTAAAAAGAAAAATCCGCAAATTAGTTTTTTCTACCAATTGACGTGAATATGGGTCGAAAATTGGGTTCCAAAAGATTAGTAGCTTTGCTATAAAATGCCATTTTTCTTTAAATTATTTTCATTTCACCCCATTATTTAGTCTGCAAAATACCACTTTTCTTTAAACTTATTTCACCCCATCATATGGTGTGCAAAGAGGGTTATCCAAAATATAATCTGCCTTGTTGATTATGCCTTACACTTAGGAACCGTGGAATTCAATAATTCTCAAACATAAATTTGGAATATCTCTCTTCATAGATTTGGTGAAAAAAAATATAAAATAATGATACAAATTTTATAATTTTTTATTTAAGAATACAAATTTTGGGAGTTTTCGAATCAAACTGTAAATTTTCATTTTTTTTACTAAATAATGATACTAAATTTACATTTTTCTATTTAATGATTTATTGAATGACGATGATGACACTAAAAATAGCAATCTTAAGCAAAATAAGGTAAAGTTTGTATATTTAAATAGAAAAAAATAAAAATTCACCATCTAATTTAAAATTTTAAAAAGTTCTTTACATTTAAGTTTAAAAAAAAGGGAAATTTTATATTTTTATCGGAACCTTTTAATTTGGTGTAAAAGATAAATAAAAAGTATAAAAAATAATGAAAAAAATAAATGTGAAAAATATATTAAAAAAAAAACATCGTAACTTGTCTAAATTATAAGGTGAAATAAATAATCTAAAATAATCATCCTTTAAATCAATTATTAAGATTTTTGTTATTTTTTATGTCTCATATTTTTATGTTTATTTGTTGAGCCAGCCCCAAAGCGAACGAGCTATGATCCATTCAAAAAATCTATTTTAGCCCATAACTCATGAACTTATTGGGTTAGATCAACCCAACCCACAAACGCGATTCACATATCAATTTGGGTCCAAACAGTTCAAACCGAACAAGAATGGGAGATTTTTGCATTTATTTCTCTTTTTTTTTTTTTTTTACTGTTTTTTTGTTCCATCAAGCTTCTCAAACGCAGATCTCAAGCAAATTTCATATGCGGCATATAAACAACCAATAATGAGGAAAACAACTCCAAAATTCTTGGATTAACATCATCATTTGCAAAAATGCAGTCAACATCAAAGCAAACATGCCTTTCAAAAAAATAAACATCAAAGCAAACATGAAAAAAAATTTTTTTCCAGAAAATTAAACCTTTTTCACATCTCACCTTCTTTTTTGTTCTCCTTTGGCTTTATACGGTGTAAATTGGACGATATTTGTCTACCTTAATGCCATTCTACCCCTTTTATTTATTTATTTTTTGAACAAATTTACAAAAGATCAAATTCAAACAATTGCTCTGAGAATGAGAGAATATACTTATACGTAGTCTACGTCATTGCACACGAAGGCCAAGTGCCTATCCCTTTTATTTTTTTCTTTACAATCATCAGGCTTTTATTTTATCATAAGCTACATAATGAAAGTTAATTTTCTTTTAACTTCCTGTGTCATAACCACTATTGTGTTAGAAAAGCTAAAATACTACGTCACTACTTTAAGGTCATTTGGCTGCTATTGCTTCCTCTTCGCTTTCTTTCTTATCTTCTCCCACCTTTGGCTGCAATAAGCTGGCATTAATTGCTAAATTAGCTTCATAAACCAATAATTTAACATGCTAATTAATTAATTACCCTCCAATCTTCTTGAACCCTCAGATTCTCTTTATCTATTTTTATTTTTATATTTTTTTAATTTTGGGTGGCCGATCCGAGTCCAATCTGGGGTACGCCACCCACGGGTTAGTCCCCGGATCTTTCTCCTCACTGCTATCCCAAAATTCCTGTGTTTGAGAGAATACCCAACAAGAGACGGAGCAACGGATGATTGAAAGCTAGAAGAGACCGGTGGATTCCAAGGGCTGCCTGGTTGCTGTGAGATGAAGAAGACGCTCAGTGGCTGTGGAGTGAGAGGACCTAGGAGGCCGAAAGCTGGGGTTTCCCGTGAGCGGCGAACTGCTGTGATGGAAAATGACCGGTAGGGAATGCACGGCTGTCGGTTGCCCAAAACTTTCAGATCTGGAAATGGTCTGCTTCCTCTTTTGTGGTGATGATCGGTGATGAATCGGAGAAAACGGTGGAGAAATTGAAGATATAGGTAATGGGAAAGTCTACTGTAAGGTGGAGAAGAGATATACAGTTGCTGGAGATGGAAATCGAAATAGAGGTGATAGTGGTTGTGCAATTGGAGGTTCTGGAAGGGAGAAGAATCGAGAGAGAAAAAAAAACGAAAAGAGAAGAAAACGCGAGATAGAGAGAGGGTCTCATTTTTTTGTCCGGCCCTTTTTAATTCTTTGTCCGCTCAACTACAACGAGAAACTAGAAGGTTAAAATACCAACTTTGTCCCTAAACTTTAAAATTTATATTAAAATTGTCCCCCAACTTCAGAAAGTATCAAAATTATCCCTAAATATTAATTTTTAAGTACCAAAATAGCTCTCAAACTTTGAAGATAATATCAATTTAGTTTTTAAACTTTGAAGACAAGTATCAGTTTAATTCTTAAACTTTGATTACAAATGTCAATTTTGTTTTTCAACTTAATTATATATTAATCTGACATATAAATAGAAATATATTATGATAATAAAATATAACAAAATATCACTGTTTAATTTTACATGTTATTAGTATTTTAAAAGAATTGATTTTGTGATAAAATAATGAATTACATAATACTTCTATTAACGGAAGTACTTTTTTAGTATTAAAAATTAAAATTTAAGGATAATTTTGATATTTTATGAAGTTAATGGACATTTTTAGTAAAAATCAAAAAGTTAAGGGATAAAATTGATATTTTAATCAAAATAGAATGGAAACTAGGGTTTTTGAGGTGGTTTGGGCTGGTGTTTTATTGTTAGTTTAGGCTGGCTAAAGCAATTGGGCTAAGGCTTGAATAAGTGGTTGGTAGGTTTGGGTTTAAGCTGGATTTGTATGGTTGTTTTTGGTAGATTTCACTCCCACTTTTTTAATTTCTTCAATTGAGTCCTTTTCTTGTTCCTCTCTTGAATTTCTTCACAAAATTTTTCTTTTTACATGCAAAACCTGAAACAAAATAAAATAAATTGGTTAAACAAAGAGAAAATTCATTTTTTTTTATTTTTTGTGTTTTGTTTTTTACATTTTATAATTTTTATGATTTTCTTGATTAATTTCAAAATTTTATATTTTTTAAAAAATAACCCAAATAAACTAAATGAAAAACGAGGTTATGACAAGAAGTTATAATGTCCGCCTTTCATAAGGGTGGCCATAGATAAATAAAAAGTAGGGAGTGTTAATGACAACAAGGGGACAATTTAATTTGTGAAGTTGTAATGCTTGCCTTTCTAGGGGGTGGGCACGGTTTGATTCTTTTTGTAACCGTAACTAAAATATTGGTTAAACAAAATGTTGGATATTAAATGTTAAAAACTATTAACTAAATTGAAAAAAAATGATTTTATTAGATTCAATTAATTTTTTTTTTTTTTGAGAATAACCATTTAGATTAGCTTTGGTTTAATCAAAAAATTATTTCTGTATTTTTTAGTGATTTTCTTATAAAATTTCTTAATTATTATTTTATTAATTTTAATAAATAATTTGTTAAAAATAAAGAAAAAAATAAAAATTTCTAGAAACCATTAAAAAATTTGTGTACATGGTTTTTGGACCAAAATTTCTAGTTATACTGATTAGTGTTTTAAGATCCGGTCCAATGGTTGATCCATTTTGACCATTGAATCTGGTTCAATTGGTTCTATCGATTCAATCAATTGATATTTTTATTAGATTTTTCACTTGTATATTATTTTTACTTTATTTTTTAGAAATAATCACCATAAAATTAACTTGAAAATCATTATTTAAGCAACTTAAAATAATAAATTTAATTTTTAAGATCTACACTAACAACTATCAAAATACATAATATGATGTAAGTTCACTAAGCCAATTTGATGCTCCAATCTTTATTAATCACTACATTTTAAGAAGCACATTACGGCAGCAACAGAAATTTTTTCTTTTTTGAACATTTTTTATAAGGGACCGGATTCGAACCACACTTAAACTGCCCAAGTCCAAGGCAGCAACAGAAATTGGAGCTTGAGTAGACCTAGCAAAAATCCACCCGACCCGTCAACCTGACCCTAACCCGACCCGTAAAAAATGGGTTAGGGTCTATATATCTCAACCCGCAACCCGTAGACAACCTGTATTATCAACCTGTACGGGTCATGGGTCGAGTTAGGGTCAACCCATGTGTTGACGGGTTAACTCGTTTGTTTTATTTTTTATTATTATTTTTAAATATTATACTTATTATTCTTAATTAATTTTCCTATTGATAACTCCTTCCATTAATTCATATTCCCTAATTTCTAAAGAAATAAGAAGAAATTATGATAAGTTTGATCTAATTACCCAAGTATTATTATTATTATTATTTTTTTGGTATTAACAATTACTCAAGTATCATGAATGAAATGACAATGCAACTAAAAATATTAAAAGATGTGATATTAGGACATAAACATAATAACTTAGTGAAAGATGTTATTGGAAGAGCAATTTCATCATTAAAAAAATGGATTAAACTACTTGATAATGTTTCAAGATGATTATAAAATTAAAATTTTATTTTTTAAGAAATTTAAATATTTTACGTTTAATATTTTTATTGTTAATCAATTTATTATTATTTATAACTTTTTTCATTTTTTTTAATTTAAATGTTTGTGATTGAAACTATAAAGTATTTAGTGTTAATGAATCACAATATTTTAATTAGATTTAGATATATATAATTTTATTTGTATATAATAAAATTAATAAAAAATAATTATAAAGAATGCAAATAAAGTCAACTCGCAAGTTAATTCGTAACCCATTAGGGTCGGATTAGGGTTAAACTTTTTCAACCGGTAACTCGTTTATAACCTAACCCATATAACCCGTCACCCGAGTTAACTCGACTCGAACTCGACACAACCCAACCGTTTGCCAGGTCTAAGCTTGAGGGACTAGAGAAATTAATTTGTAAGTTTAAGGTTTTTAATTAAAGCATACCTCTGCATCCAAGGCGTGCAGCCCCAACCTATTCCTTCTTCCATCGCTGTTGCATCAATTTTTGTTTATAGATCATTGTCAAATTCCATATCTAAAAAAACTTTTGAAATGACAATTATTCAAGTTTTGAAAATTCAATATTCTTGTAGACAAAATTTCTTAATGTCAAGTTTTTAGAAATTAGAAAACTTTAATGTACAGAAAATGATATAAGATATATCAATCAAACCATCAAATGCAGAGAGAAAGTGTGAAATCCTCTCCTTCTCATCATCAAGTAAACTTAAGGATAACACTTGCAGATCCTCAAATGTAAAGTTTAGAGAAACAACTGGAAGAAATTTTTATCAAAGAAGCATACTAGCAAAGCATAAATGAATAATAATCAAAATAAGGAGACGTAAGGCAAATTCCAAAAAGTTGTAGATTCTGTGTTGACTTGTTGCTTCTATTCGGTGGAGGAAAGAGAGGAAGGTGAGCAATGGAGGAGATGAGCGCCTTGTAGATCTGTTCTGTTGCTGCTTCTGTGAGGGGATGATCTATTCTATACTGCTTATGTTCGATCCGGTGGAGGAAGGAGAGGAAGGTGGGCAGCGGAGATCAGGCCAGAGATCAGGTTGCTTGTTCGGCGGAGATCAAGTTGTTTGCTGCTTCAATTCGGTGGAGGAGATGAGGAGTGAGGAGGTAAGGCAGATGCAAAGGTGTGACCGTGTGAGCTTGCTTTGTTGCTTTTGTAGTTCTGTTCTGCGTGGTGGAGGAGATGAGAATTGAGGAGGTGAGTCGTTGATGGAGACGGAGTAAGGAAGGGATCTGTCGATTTCTACCTCTGTTTCTGTTTCTTCTGCTTTGCTTTTGCAGAATAGTTTTTGTTTTCACTTTTTCATTTTTGACCTGCTAGTTTTTTTAATTTAATCTCAGTTTAAGTTTAAGTGTAAGTTTTTTTTTTTTTTAATATTTTTGTCATGAAATCGGTTCGAACCGTTGTCTTGAAGGAGGAAGGAATGAATCTTACAAACGTGACTAAAGCCATTTGATCCGAACGACCAAATTCTTAAGTGTAAGTTTTTTAATGTAATAACAATAAAAACATGATATAAAATGGGTAAATTACATTTAAAGAAAAAAAGTGAATTAAAAGATGATAGCTTCAGCCCGACGACGGGTTAAACGGGTTGGGCGGTTGGAGCGGGCCAAGCGGGCCATATGGGTTTGGACGGGCCAACTCTGAAAATGGATTAAGGCATGCAACCGGCTCGTTTTCAAACTCAGGTCAAATACAACCGGTTCAACTGACCGGACCGGACCTTAAAACACTAATACTCATCCTTGACATCAGTTTTTTAGTTTTTATAATAACTAAAATTCAAACCATTTAAAATCAATTCGGTTTGATTTTTAGTAAAAAAATCCAAAATCCAATCAAACTCTATTCATTAATTATCATTTTAGTCAATTTCAGTTCTTTTTTTAATTGTGGATTTTTTTGGGCACCCCAACCTTTCATGGGATTCTAAGATCTATGTGACAGGATGGTATCTTCTTGAACTTGTATTGTAAGTTTGGGTTTTAGGGGTGACAGGACGATATTTTCTTGAACCCATACTGTATATCTGGGTTAATGGAAATGGAAAGGAGAGGAGGGAAAGAGAAGAGGTGGCATATACGAATTTCACACTCCTGTTGAATTGAAGAAAGGAAAAACCTTAATTCTATCTGATATCTTCATCCATGGTATTCACCCATTAGAGTGGACCTGTTATATTGGAGATCGCCTGTCCTACAGGAGTCGATCTCCTAAATTTTTTATTTTTTATTTTTTATTTTTTTAAGTATTGACATTGATAGGTGGAGTTAACACTTGTCAAGATATTTTGACTCATTTATTTGACTCTTAATTTTTTTAAATTTAGGGATGTAAAATTTATATATGTGTAGAAATTTATTTATATATAATTTTTATATATTATATTATTTAAAATTTTAATTATTTATTTTTAAAAAAAATTTGATATGTCTCTTGTAATTGTGGATATCTTAGCTAGAATCAAGGATCTTTTAAAAGTGGGTAAAAATGAGGTGCCATGTGGGATTCCTCTTAAGAGACTTAAATGGACATTAATATCAAGGACTAAGCAAACAATAATATCTAAGGATTGCAGTCGCTATTGTTGAGTATTAAAAGCTTTGACATGGTTCTATGGTTATAAGCTTTGCTCTTTAGGGGTTTGGTTTAGTGTAGCTTTATGCTGGTTTATGTCATAAACTATTGATATATTGATTAGATAAGAGATACTATGTGTTGTACTTGTACCCATAAGAAGGACAGTATTGTTGAAGTTAGGATTTGGGATGTCCTATTACATGATATTATTAGTTTTAAGGGTGTTTAATTTAATTATTTAGGTGTAATTGATAATTAATATCAAATTACTAATAATTGTTATTAGTTATAATTTAAAGTATTTAACTTATTGAATTAAAATTAATAGTTGATGAAAATTAGAGTTAAAATATCAAAATATATAATTTTTAAACGAGTACAATTGAGAGAGGACAATTTAAACCTAATACTTAAGATTAATAATGCACCTTTTTTAAAGTTTTATAACTAATTAACTTTCTAAGAGAGATATCAATATTGTTGAAATTAGGATTTAAGATATTTCTTAGCACAAGATATTATCAGCTCTAGACTTTTAGTTCATGGAACTCGTTGTTTTATTTATCAAAAAAAATCCTTTAGATAGCATGAGAAATCAATATATACTATTTCTCATGTCTTAAATGCCCCATGCATACAGAGAAAACGAGGTGTCCAACATGACTTCTTAACCATGGATTTTTTTTTTTTCATTTGCAAATAGAGGATAGAATATATTATCCGTTAATAGAGTTTACGGGATACAATGAATGCTTCAATCTGCTACAAAAAATATCGTAATTTCTCTGGAAATTACAAAAAAAAAAAAGAAAAAAAGAAAAAAAAAAGGGTCTAAGCAGAAGCTACCTTTCAGACATTTGATTAACTAAGGCTTTATTTTCGTAAATAGATTCGATATCCCAATCCTCGTTTGAAGATGATAGTGTTGCAAGTGCAACAACAATTGATCTCATGCTTGGTCTATGTTGAGGATTTTCTTGTGTACAAGCTCTGGCAAGATGGGCGGGCCATCTGTAACCATTACATAACAGCTTGTTAGAATTGAGGGTTCAGGTTATGACATGCATTTGCATACCTATGATTAAACAAACTCATGAAACCTAACCTTGAAGACTTCATCCATGGTGTAATTATCACCAAGCTTAGGATCAACAAGTTTACGAAGATCTTCTTTTGTAATTATCACAAACAAACCGAAGAACATTATCTCCAGAGACATAAACCGAAGCATTACTCAAAGAAGACAATCATACCACCAGTTGCTCTGCAAGAAAACCAGGAGACGCAATTATTAGGCAACTTGAGATAAGGGTCTTGTAATTTGAAACTCAGTTGAGCCTTGAGGCCACAGCTTACCTTATCTTTAGTGGTGGAAAGGTCCCATTCTGGTCTGCACAAGAAAAAGGAGCCCAAGCTTATAAAGAGCAATATGTTCAAACTATCAATAGCAATATACTATTTGATGTATTCCTCCTACACCAAGCATTAGAGTCTAGTCCTAAAAGGAAGAGACATGGTGAAATCAAGAACCATTTTTCTCTAATTGTTATTGCATAGACTAATTCAATTTCAAGCCTATTCATAGTGGAAGATGCGAGCATTTCAGCACCAATGACTGAAGATTTACATGTTATATTTAAGTTGGATATATACTGCATTTAGGATAACAATCAAAGCAAATAAGTCACCAACCTCTCTAAGTTGTGGGGCCTTGACATAAAATAGGTCCCAACCTACGGT